ACATAATCATTTCTAAACTATATATATCAGATTTTTTTGTATATTTTGTATAGCAGTTGTCCTCCAATACTTCAGGTGCAATATAAGGACAATTTCCATAATCTTGAATTAATGAACTACAAAGTCCAAAATCACAAAGTACGCAGTGAAGTTTATCTTTATTAATTAAGATATTTTTTGGGTATAAGTCTTTATATATTTTCCCTTTATTATGCAATTTCCTAATGCTATTGGAAATTTCTTCGAGGAACTGACGTAAATCGCTATCCATTTTATGGAGAATGAGCATAAAAGTTCGAGTCTCTGGGTCTTTTGTTAATCCATAACATTTTACAAGAGACTGTGAATATGGTTCAATAGTAAAACTTGCTTCAATCTAAAAGAAATAAAGTGTTTAATAAAGTCATTAAGTTAGTTATTTTACTAATTATATTTGAGATTTACCTCACCAGCTGACTTTTCTAAATCTTTTAAGGTCTTAAGAATACAAATAATTTCTCCATCTCTCTTTAATTCTTGTTGCTCATTATCCCATTTTGTAAATGGCCCATTTTTCCAGGTTGCAGTATATATTGTAGAATTGCCACCTCTGGTTTTTTCTTCAATATTTCTAAACTTCTCAAAAGGAATCCATTCGATTATGTGTGATGGAGATACAGCATTAAGTTGGCATTTACGGATAAATTCATCAAGTTCATTATTTCCAGTAGTCCATTCATTAAAGTATTTTTCTAAATAATTGTGAATACAACTTTTGCAATAAGTAATTGTGATAGCCTTTTTATATTTGTTCCGGTAATGCTTTTTGTTGTCATCACGCAGTAGTAGTAATTAAAAATTTTTATAAACAATCAAATCACACGAGAAAAGTTTTTAATTTTCTTATGATTGAATAAATTAATAATGCGTTTCAGTATATCATGCCCTAAATACAGTATTTTTTTTTAAATAACTAAAAATTTTTTATAGAAAATTTTCGAATAAATCTTCTATAAAAAGAACTAATCTTTATGCCACTGTAACTCTTATAGAAGAAGTATTTTTCAAAAAAACTTACAGTAAAATGTAAGTTATTTTTTAAAAAAATTCCTATAAAAATTTTTAGTGATTTAAAAAAAAATTCTGTATTTA